AGGATCCAGGAACAACCCTCTGAAAGCAGCGGATGGGGAGCTGGTAACGAAAGTAATTAGAGATGTTCTTGTGGATGACTTTAAAGGTCTCACTAAAAGATAAAAAAAGAAATGTGGACACACGTGAAGGGGAAAATCAAGAAGATCATGGTAAAATACTTCAAGAATTATTAGTGATTCCAGCATAGCCGTTATTGTGTACAGGGCCGCAGACACGTCGTGTTCTGAAGGTGCTGCCCGGAGATGGTGCTCTACAGGAGAGTGGAAACACGTCACAGGGGAGCTTGTTAGGAACACAACTATTGAGCATCGGCGATGGGAAAGCACCTCTTGTGTAGCATGACTCAACTCAAGGAATTAAAGCTGAGCAGAATTTATCTGAACAATGGAAGCCTTGGACAGATCCAGAATTTTTGAAAAAATTTTTGAAATAGAACTTAGAAAAGCATGTTAGGAAAACAAATGTCTGTGCCCAACAGCTAAGAGAGTGAGCTCTCCATGAGACAGAGAAGGGATGTAACTGGAGAAAGGGCAGGTTAAACATTTTAATCTTGGCTGGCTTTCCTTAAAAGGAGACGGGCAACAATAGGAGAGAAATGTCAGGGCACACCTCAAAAAGACTGCAGAAAGGAATGTTTCTGCTGATACCGAAGCAGCACCAGTTACAGAGGGAAGGCCAGGGTTTGTGAGAAGAGGTGATGGGGGAGAAGGCCAGCGTTCTGCAGCATCACCCTCAGCCTGGGTTCAGCAATTGGACATTGACTCCAGTGGAGACAAAGGAAAAGCTCAGAGGGGGCCATGAGCTGGAGGAATTCCAGAGCAGGAAGAGCAGAAGTCACAGTGGTACAGGATAAAAATAGGATTAGGAACACCAGACTTAAAGGGAACTGGAAATCGAGACACATCTTAAATACGTATATGAATACCAAGGGGAAGAAGGGAGCCACAAGGAAGGCTGTGAACAGGAGGGGACTGATTTTACATTTTTGAATTTTTCACAAAGATATAAATATTTCAAAGGTCATTCTCCAGGAGAAGAGGCAGAATGCATAGACTGGACTGTTTCCCCCAGGATAGAGGAAGCAGAATGCAAAATTAACGTCCTCTTGGTGGCTTTTTCTCAACACTACAGTTGATACTAATCAACTGGTACTGGAAAGATTGAAATAAAGATTTTCTTTTTACTTTTTCATGTGCTTTCTGTCTTTCCTGCTTCCTGCCCAAACTATCAAATCTCCGTTATGGTCATTCATTAGCAAGAGTCATATGGTACTATAATCTGGGTTCTGGGAGCCTAATTTTGCTCTAGAAGCCCCGGCTTTGCTTGTGTTTTCTAAATTCTGTGGGCAAGACTGATGCTGGGATATGGTTCATATGCCCCCTAAAGTGACTTTTAGAAAAAGTGGGTACTAGAGAGATTCAAGGTTGGATTAATTGAACTTTGGAAGGACCAGAACGGCTACCCTCATTCCAATAGAAAAGGGCTTCACTGCCTTGTCTCTACTTCTGGCAATGGAGTGAGAGCATTCTGGCTGAGAACAAACACGGGAGGAAATCAGGGAAGGCAGAGTTGTAGACTAGCATTTCTTTGAGTTTTAATTTATGAGAGAGAAGAGGATTTTACTTTGAACTTTAATTTCTCTCTGGATGCATATTAGTGGGAGATTCGCATCGAAATGTACTGTAGCACTTGGGGCCTTTTATACTATCAAGAGGTGCTCGTTGACAACTCTGCTGAGCTACACTAGGCAGTGTGGCTGGATATCGTGGCAGAGAGTGAATTTTGGCTTAGGGCACAGTGTAACCTGGATGTTAATGAATGGACCCTTCTGATCTATCCAGGGCCATCTGGGAGGATGAGCTAAGCTCCCTTTTGCATGGGTCCTGGGAGGCTACACAAGGATCATGGTCCTCCAAAGCATGTGGCCCTGGGCACGGCCACTGCCATGACCCTTTAGAACACCTCTTCCCACACCACCACACTGCCCAGAGTGGCCTCGGAAGTTTGCCCAAGGCTAGAAGCCATAGACTGCATCTCACTGGCTCAGTGGTCAGCAAACCCTGTACACTGTCATAGTTTTTATGCAAGGAATGAGAGGGACGTCTCCAAAGAAGAGCCTCAATCCTTGTTCCAGGCCTCTGGTTCAGAGATCCAGGTTAAAACACCCTCCTTGGCTCACCCACTGAATGGTTTCATAAGATTGAGCTCTTGTGCCATCCTCCACGCTGGATGTTTCCATAAGGGAGGCTATAGTCTGGATAGAGTGCTCAGAACATTGGTGTTTTGCTGCATGTCTTTTTGTTTAGGGTGGGAAGTGGGGGATGTCATCAAGGATAAGCATATAGGAATCTACGGTTTGTAGAGGAGGCTGAGCATATCAGATTTTGTGACTTTAAGGCTTTAGACCTCTACTCTCCAAAGTGACTGCTGGCTTTTCTAGGCTGCAATAAACATATGGGAGTACCTCCTGAAGATGGGAACAGGCTGCCTTCAGGGACTACAGCTCTCCCCTCCTGATGACCACAGGCTGGGTGCTGATGCCTGAGTTAAGACAAAAACCAAATCTGAAGAATGTTGGGGAAGGGAGGTGTTTCCCTCCCACTCTCACATTCCCAGAGAGGAGACTTCCGTTTCCTCTCCCTTGAGGGGGTAGTATTGGGTTGAAAAACTCTGGCTCCTGTTGTGACACCTCTCCACCTTCCCCATTGAAGGGTAACAAAGCCAAGTCTGGGATGTTGACTGGAAATGTTTTAACTGGGAGTATGTCCAGCACAGTGAAACAGCCATGTGGGCTTATCTTTGGCTCTTGCTTATTCTTTTGGTCACTAGCTGTGACAGAGATGGCCAACCATCCAAAAAGTTATTGTGCGGCGTTATTGCCAGGAAGTGGATGCCTAGCCAGAGAACATTTTTCTATTCTCCTATCCCCACCTCCTAACCCTTATATTTAGGAATATGAGTGGAAGAAGGGAGGTCTTGGGCAAAGCTTTCAAGAAGTGGTGAGCCGCCTTCCTACTCTCTCCCTTCTGCCAGCTACATGTGGAGGATGATAAATTCCTAGAGTAGAGGAGTCACAATGTGGAAGGAGTTGGATTCCTAAATCACTGCATGGAGTAAACTAGACGGGTAAGTTATGTCCACAGTTCTCCAGGCAACTGGAAAAGGAAGTGGTCTGAGCCTGCCTTGCATACACAAACCTCCCATAAGTGTCTTCCAATGTTTAGATTTGAAGAGGAAACATGAGGCCTCCATTTTGGCCCCTGGAGATGTTCTCCAAAATAACATTAGTAGATAGCCTTATACTTTTGAGGCCATTGGGCCCTTAGCTTGTCCATTAATAAAAATGATCCTTTGATCCTCATTGACTCTCCATTCCTTTGATCTATTTTCTATTAATTGGAATCATAATTGGGATAAGAGGATAAGTTGATACATTCAATACGTAACTGCCTTATGGGGGCTCTGACAGAGCCTCCTGAGAGTTATGGCATGAAAATGAGAAAACAATGCATGCGATGCTCCTAGATAGACAATATGTCAAATGCCAGACAAGAAGTCCTATCCCACTCCATGGATGGAAAGATGGTGTTAAAGGCTGGGACACAGACTTAGGCCTGGAGGGTTGAAATGGTGTTCTGGCCAGAAGACTTTGAGGCACGAAACTCTGTAACAAACTATGACCCCAAAGGTGAGGGGCTCAATGTGAGTGCAGACAAACTAGTAGGAGAGATGCTTACATGAGATGGTAGACGAAACACATGGTAAGTGTGCAAACTTTGTGGAGTGACATCTGGCATACTTCCGAGAGCCTAGTTATTTCTCACCTAGATTCCTTCCCCTGAAACATCTCTTGGGTACCAAAATTTTCCGTATGACCAGATCACAGCAGACAAAGAGAAGGAAAGGAGAACCACTGGGCAAACAGCTGTAACTTAGAAACTTAGAGTTTACTATAGAAAATTTCTCTGGTGTATTTTCTAACTGGTGCTTGGTGGATGGCAGTCAGTCACAGACGGGCAGACAAGATAGGGTGCGCCAACCTATTACTATATATTAGCACAGCTAATATTTGCCCATAAAAGATCCTTCCTATCTCTTCTTTCCCTCTTATTTTGTAGGTTGTAGGTGGTAAGTGGCCCATGAGGTCATTTGCCCCACTGCCACTGTATGTAGACTTTAAAATGATTAGGGCAACAGTTTAAACTCTAATCCACACTAACCCAGCCCTAGTTTGGGGGAAGATAAGTTGCCAGGATGTAAGAAGAAATTTACACAAAATACAAGTATTTTTTTTTTTGCAACAAAAGAAACTATTTATTTGGAATATGCATTACCAGTACAAATTAGGAGACTGTAAAACCTACACCGTGTTAGTATCATTAGAGAACACAAAAGTTCAATTGGAATCAAAAGGGACAGAAGCCTGTGCTCTCACAGAAGCAGAAAAGCTTAAACTTTCAAAACCAAAACAGAGCAGAACTTTGCAGGTTTATACTCTGAATAATAAGAAAAGGGGAGGGAGAGCGAGAATAAAACCAACCAAAGGAAAGCACTTCAAAATAATTGAAAACGCCAAAGGAAAGAAAAGAAGTCATTAGAGAGAAAAGGGGGAAAACATTGAATGTTTTATTAATTTTAACAAAAGGAAGAAAAGTTTACAAAAAATAAAAGATTCCAGGAAGCTTTGAGCTAGAGGTTGAAACCATAAGGTGATGTGAAAAGCTCGTCATTATTTTGTTATGAATTAAAAACAAGAGTGCACGTGTTTGGGTAGAAACACTTCCTAAAGGGTTGCTTCACAATTCTGCATTACTTCCTCACTTAGATTCTGGCTGCTTTCTGAACACTTAACCATTTGTTGAATGAAAGATGTTTAAAATAATTTTCTTCCAGATAGTATTGCTTTCTTTTCTCCTATCGCTAATAAAAACATTCCGAACCAAGCCAGTTACAATTTGCTTTACGCAGCTGCCCAAATCAGAGGTTCATAAGAGGTATTCTGTCAGTGAAATCAATCTTAACCTCTCAGCACTATAACGACAGCATTGAATCTGGCTCAATTTCTCACCAACTCTTCTTCCAAAATCAGAACCGAAAGGATCAGCGGGCCGACAGGCCACAGGGATGGCTTCCTGGATCTAGTCTACTTAGCCAATGGTACCCATCACACCACTATCTCCTGTGGGATTCTTCTGGAAGAAAAATCTTCTCTAGTTGAAAGAGGCTTCGTGGAATGTTGTTATTAATCAAGAAGAAAGAAAAGAAAGCATTTTGTGGTGATATTCACAATCAACAGAAATAAAAACCTTTCCCTACAAGATAAAAGGTCCCCTGGACCTATTCCTTGAGTTTTTAACGGGCCAAAAGGAGAACCCAAGTCCCTGACTTTGTTTTTCTCAGGGACTACAGGAATGCCACACACTCTGGAAATGCAGGCGAGCAATGTGATATCAACATGGGCTTTATCTTTGTTCTTGAAGTCAACTGAATTGTGAAGCAAAGGAGAAGTACGAGGAAGCAGCCTACTCTACAAATGTCATCTTTTCACATCACCTCGTATACATATTTAAGGAATAAAAACAGCAATATCATAATCCTGACAATTAAAAAAAGCCCCCCCAATAAACAAACCAAAAATAACACAAAACAAAACATAATTTTTTTTTTATATTTTAAAGAGCAGGAATAAAGAAAAGAAAAGAATTTATTTCTGGGTCTCAAAGTTAATAAACATAATAACGTGTTAGGTTGTACCTATTATGCTTACTATTCCAACCTTTTTTGTTTAGTTTACAAAATGAATTACTGTCACTTTTAAACATTGTGAAACAGGAAATGGATGTGCACAACGACACTTTTCTAGCATTCTTGAACTAATTCACAAATGCAAGAAAATAAAAGAAAAATGGGGGAAATGATGAATGTAGGTAGTTTGGTGTTAAAAACTAATGTGGGAATGATGCGCATTGTCACAGAAAGAAGAGGGGAAATTCCCCATCCTGTTTTGCGTGCTATGAGGGTCATTTTTAAAATTTTTATTATAAACACTATTAAATTCAGACCGCTTTTTTGGTTTTTTTTTTCTTTATCTGAATATACAAGAACATTCATTATCAAATGTTCATCATCAATACTACAAAGAACGAGACACAAGTCGCAAGAAACAATGGAAAATGTTAATAAAGCTGAAAGAATCGTTGAGTATTTTTTTGTTATTTTTTTAAGTTTTTTTTAAATTTGAGTTTCTGTAGTTTTATCTTTTTTGGTATCGAAGTCAGGTTTTTCTGGGCAGAAAAATCAAACTCAGAAGGAAAGAGGGGGGAAAGATATGTGTGAGAAAAGGCAACCAGCAAATAAAGAACCACCACCACAGCAAAATAAAAAATAAATGTAAAGAAGGTGCCACTTGGCAAAAGTACTGCATGGGAGTCAATTCCATGCCAGGGGGAGGAGTTAGAGATGAAAAAGAGGATATGACAAAGAGTTACAAGGTGGGCAAACCCAAGGGCTAGTATCATTTCTCAGAGGAAATTTGCTGCCAGGGAAAATGGAGTGCTCCCACTTCCATTAGAAAATGAAGGAGCCCTGGGCACATTTTGGTGTCTCTAGGATTGACCTAATACGAATTCCCAGGGAGCTGTATTTCCAGAGGCACACTCTTTCCATCCTCATCCTTCTGCTGCCAGTGTTCTCATGCTTTGCTTAATGTGGAGAGATCTTGTGGCCGCCATATTGGATGTGATCGTGGGCATGGAGGGGAGATCGTGGGAGAGGTATTGGATACAACGAGGACGAAGTGAAGTGCTGGGTGGGGAAGATGCTGTGAGAGGTGATAATCAGTGCAAACCACTGCAGGGAGAGAAGCTGCCTGTGCAAATGTAGCACTGCTCTGATCTTTTTCATTAACTTAAAGTGGCAATCTTTCAACCCAAATCTGGAATCATTCTTCCTTGTTTCCAAGAGAACCCTTTTGCGTCTCTTTTGTACTTTGCCCAGTCAGGTGGATGTGATCCAACCATATTCCTGTGTGGGTAGTTTCAATATATCCCTGCCACTAAGACAAAGTTCTGCACTGGTTCTAATCATTACTGAGTTACCACAAAATAGCTCCTTCTAGGAATTCTCTATATCAAGCCCTGTTCTGATTATGGCACAGGTTAGTAGACACAGTCTTTCTACTGCTCTTAGTCTTCAAGGCCAAATATTTACTTTTTGCATTTCCTTCAAATACACATACCCTCCAGTTTCTTAGGTATCCCACCCACCCACCCAACACACACACGGGAGCATTTTCTATTCATTACTGTAGTGCCATGCAGAATTTCCATGACCTTGTTAGCTGGCCATCCTCACCCCTCAAGGTCTTATACCCCTCCCAGAGGCCTCTCAAGCAGAGTAGATATGACAGGGGACTAAGTACTTACAAGGCCACATATTGGATTCAAATACAAACTAAGAGAACCAAGTCCTATTTTTCTAGTTTGGAAGCATATCTCTATTCTAAGAAACCAAACAGACCAAAAGAAACCAAAGAAAAGCAACAACAATACCCCTTCTCTTTGTCATCATGGTGATGACATCACAGTACTGATGGCGACCAGAAGTTAAAACAGGAAAACCATTTATTGTTCCTTCATGGCGAGAACCAGTTTATCTCAGGGACGCTACTTCCCCTGACTTCACATTTACAGATTGGATATGAGCCAGGCATAACAACCCCCATTTTACAGATAAAGAAAATGGAGCACCAGGAGATTTGACCACCTTCCACCTAATCAAGTGACAGAGCTGCCATCTTTATTGCTGGCGCAGTTTGCTATGAATAATGTAAGCTCAGGTGACATTAGAGAATAGCTTTCTAGTATATACTCTTCTTTCTTAGATATTCCTAGGAAATAAAAGTCACTATGATGATTTCACTAAAAACATTACCTCCCCTTTCCCCATCACTCTTGGGTCTTCAAATTAAGCTAGCAAAAAGTTCGCTTGAGCCATGTTCTTATACAACTCTCTCCTCTAGAACAAGAATGTGGCGCCATATAACACTTTGGATAACTAATGCAATGTCCCTAATATAAACACAAAAACAAAACAGAACCAAATCCATTATAGACATTGTAAGTTCTGTGAGTGGCTCCCTGAGAGCTCCGGAGGTGGTAGGAACAGGAATAATTTACACTGCAAACCTGGCCTTCATCATGATTCAGTCCTGTGTATGTTGTTGTCGGGCATGCATGCTGGTGGGCCTGCAGGTCCTGGAAGCACCAGGCACATATTGTTTCTCTGTGTCAGTGACCTTCACTCAGAGTTGCTAATTCCCTCTCTTGGGCTCATGAGGCATAATGCTATGGGTACTAATGTGGGTATTTGTATATGGTATGTGACTGACCTTGAGAAAGTGAATGTGTGAGACTATGCATTGCCTACATGTGCAAGTGTGTGTGTGTGTGTGTGTGTGTGTGTGTGTGTGAAGGGGTAGTTGAAGGGTTTCAGGATAAAAACCTTCTACTCCTTAGTGATGCGTTCATCACCATGCCTAACTCAGACCCGGTTTTGCAGTAGGTTCTGAACATTGCTTACTAAGTGTCTCATGGTCTCCAAAGACTGTGCCTCTGAAACCAAGAGCTATTATAGGAAGATGAGAAAGCCTCTAAGAATGCTGCCCTTCTTGTTCCTTGTGCCCTCTCCTGCTCCCTGACTTCCTGCCTGGGAATCAACCTAGCGGAGCTGAAACCAGAGAATGTGGCACCTTTAGAAGCCCAGCTATGGCCGTCCCCAATGAATACCTGGGGCTGGGAAGGAAGAGCAGGAAAGTGTTCTAATCAGGATTGTCCCCAGGGAAGGCAGAGCAAGAGGAGACAGGGAGGCCTGGAATGAGTAGGGCAATGTGGCGTATTCCTGCTAAGAGGTAGTGAGAGTAACAAGAGAAACAGAGAAGGATTGCCTGTTACCAAAGGGAGCGAGGGATCCAAGTGAGGTAAATTTGGCTCCTCAAACCACCAGCATGAAAACATACAAACACTTTTATTATTTTCTTTGTATATTTTTCCCCCTTTAAATTCCTCTAATTGTTGAAAATATGCTTCAGCGATGTGATAGAGGGCAGGGACCCAGGGAGTCTAGGACAGAGGGAAAGGGGCAGGGAAGATGACGGACACCAGGCTGACAGCTGGAGGCAGGGAAGGGTGGCTTCTACCCAGAAAAAAAAGGGAAGAGAGTATAAAGAAGTGTCCAGATTGGCTGAAATAGCATCCCAAGGAAGAGAAGAGAAGGAGACTCTTATTGTGTTTGCTGATTGCTTCGACCTCCAGTCTGACCGATTCAGCGTTGGGAGAGAAACCCTCCCTCCTGGCCCTGCCCTGACTGGGGCACAGGGTCAGCCGGGATGCGATTGCTGGGAGATCAGTTGGAGGTATCAGAGTGAACACTGCCAGGGCCTTCTGTAGGGGAGGTCACTGATGAAGGGGTAGTAGCATCCTGCCAACCTCCATTAGCCTAGAAGGGAAAAAGGGAGAGAAGTCAGTCCTCTGAGATTGGGTGGCTGTTTTGAGCAGACAATGACAATAAGGCAACTTGTGTAAAGGGCCTAGCACACTGCCTGGCACATGGGGACACTCATCAAATGGGCAGCTATTTTGTGGTTGATAATATTCCCCCCACCCTCAGATGAGTTTGGATCATCCCAGTGAGCTGCTGGACAGAATATTAACACCTCCCACTTCTCAAAGGCTTTTTAATTCAGTCCAGACCATCAGATGATTACTGCGTGTGCTCTAGCAGAATGACAGCTGCCCTGCAGGCCAAGAGACCCGAGTTCCAGTTCTGACTCTGGCAACGATTAGCTATTGACTCTGGTGAAGCACTTTCACCTCTTTGGCTTTGGGTTCCCCTTTAGAAAAATAAAAAGGTTGGCTCAAATGCTTTCTTTCAGCTCTGGATGTTCCATATGTTATGGGATTCCAAGTACCTGTTCTGTGCAAGGTTCTGTACTAGATGCTCTTGGGTATATAATGATAAGTGAGACACAGTTCCCGTCCTCAAGGAGGGGGATAAGACAAGTACATGAATGAACTAGACTTCAAGGCAGAACCTAATAAATGGAACAGCCCAGTTGTGAAGTTTCAAATGAAGGCAATATCTCCTCTTGCTGGAGCATCAGGAAAGGCTTCAGGGAGGAGGCACTCTTTGAGGGGAGACTTGAAAAGTATAGAGGGTGATTCAGGCAAATAAGACAGGTAAAACAATAATGCCAAGACCATAAGGACTGGACTGCGTGAATATATCTAAAAAGGTGGCGAGACAGGAAGCTACAAGTCTGATCTACACTTGTAGATCATTTTTCTAAGACTCTAAATACAGAAGCATCCAAACAATGGAGTTGTTCTAAAAGGATTTGTTTTAATGACCACCGCTTTCAAAAAATATCCCACCATTAAAATAGTTGAAGAACGATTTGCTACAGTGGTTAATTCATGATTGTTTATACATTTTAAAGGACTGAAATATAAGTGTGCTAAAATGCCTTTTTTTCCCCAATCACTGTGTTCCTTTCGAGTTAACAGACCTCAACTCTGGAACTATTCATGTTGAACAGACCAAGTCTTAGGCATTCCTAGTAAATTATTTCCTATTCTGCTTTCCCCTCGTTTTATTCTCTGAAATATTTGGAGTCCAGGGGGCAGGTGTTGTTATTGTCATTTGGGAGGGACTATAGCTTCCACTCTAGCATAATCCACAGTACTGAGGAGCATGCTAGGCACTTCACAGGTGCTGGCAAATGCCTGTTCACATTTCACTCCTAAGAAAGCAGAGGTGCAAGAGAAAAGCAGGCTTCTGGATTATGACTGAGACAGAACACAGGCTTCCTAACCTTTAAATCAGGCTCCTTTTTCTCTGCCCTTTTCATCCATTTGGCTTTCTTTCTCATTGGCTCACCCAAATGATGCTCCGATTTTCCCAGGAAAGCCAACCTTTCAATTCAAATCAGCTCTCACCAGTTAGTTCAGCAAGAGGATGGGTTTTTTCCCTACCTCACTAAAGAGCAGATCCGGATACCAAGAAGGCAAGGTCATCCCGGGAAATGCCAAGAACACGTCACCTCAATCATGGATCAATGAATAAGTGCTCTCAAGTTCAAATCTCCATCTCATAACCTAGTCAGGTAGCTCCTCCCACTCCCTCTGTCTGCTGGAGGACATTTTCCCTGGTGTTTGTGATAGATTCGAAGGAGAACAAGGAGGGGAAAATGAGAATTATTTCTTTTATAACAGGAGGCTTTTCTATCTTTTTGGGGCCAAGACTCTGCAATGTGCTCAGAATCAAGAACAGAGTTAATTCGATTTCCTAACGTAGGTTGGTCACAGGAGTGACAATATCTTAGCCTTCCTTTCCAACCAAGAACTTGTTTATTCTGGTGCCATTTTAAGCTGATTGGGAATGGTGGTTATAATTATTTTTCCCCAAAGAAAATCTTTTAACGTCATTTATCTTTTCTGATTATAAAAGTAAGATATGCTTACATAATACTCGCACATATAATATTTGCAATTATATATGCAATATAATATTTGGAAAATAGGAAAAGCATAAAAAACAAAATGTACAACACCCATAATCCTACTACTCAAAGATACTCTTAGCATTTTGATATGTCTGTCCTAGTAATTTTCTTATATGTATATGTTTACCAGATAGATAGATAGAATGATAGATAGGTAAATAAATAAATAGGTGTGTGTGTCTGCGCCTGCTGAGTAGGATGGGATTTTAAGAAAACTTGACAGAGGTTCCTTAAGTACAGTATCATGAGGCATAGAGTAAAGTGCTGGTAAAAGAGAAAAAAGTTATGTATCTTAGAATTGACCTGGTACGAGACAAGCAGGTGAGGAAGCTCTCTGAAAGCAGTTAGCATCCATGTCATAGCACATGGCACAAAGGAGTTTCATTACATCGCTCGCAAATCACCACTATTACTATTATTTAGGCAAGCTACCATTCCATTAAAATAACAAGTGGTGCCAAAAATGAAGTCATTGGTAAAGAAAATGAGCTCTGTGGCGTTTAATTAGAAGGGAATTGGCAAGGCATTGTATATTGACCAGAAGGTTCCAGGAGACTTCTTTCTAAGTCATATCTGGGCTGAAATAAACTCAAACAATAGCCATTTGATGTCTCTCCTTACAAAGTTCTGTTTTCTCAGACCAGTGCGCAAGATGCCAGAGGCAGAGAACTCAAAGATGGTAGAGACAGGAATTAGTTCAAGCTGATATCAAAACCAACATTTTAATTATGTTAGTTGGCCTGGTGAAGAATATATAACATCTTCTATTAAAAATAAAGAAACAAAACAAATCTCTTTAGCTGCCTTTTTTTCACTCCCCCTCCTTCCATAAACACATACACAGACACGCACACTCACTTCAGATTGGGTGACCAACCATCCCAGTCCTCCCAGAACTCAGGGATTTACTGGAATATGGGACTTCCAGTCTCTGGTCACCCTACCCCAGGATATTTCAGCTATGACCTGCCACTTGTTACCAAATTCAGGACACCGCAGCCTACGGGTTTCAAGTCAGATGAATACAAGTACTTTTTAGAATAAGCCTGTCTCACAATGGGAAATGCTGCATAATTCTTTTCCCTGGAGGTGGTTTATACTACGGTATATTGTCTGCTGCTGTTGCTGTTGCTGTTCAAACCTCCACAAGATCAGAAACTGCGAGCAAACCCAACTTAACTGGGTTTCCCGTAAATCACTTCGGCTGCTTCAGCTGTATCATTCCAGCTTTAATGGAGGCCGTTCAGAGGCTGCACTGTCTTGGGAAACAGCTGACCTCGCTTACTGCCACGTTAACCCCGGGGAGCAATTCCTTCCCTCTTCCTCGACTGAGGGTGAATATTAAGTAGGAAACTCCGCCTTTGTGTGTTTATTTATCTCTGGGAGCAGTGAGAGTCGAAGATGGTTTCACTAACAACCGCGTGGGGGTGGTGGGAAATAAGACTTCCGTTTTTATTTTTCTTCTGCACCCCAACTTCCCCCTTCACTCTCCGATGCAAACTATCCTTTATAGTGGAGACACTCACTCTTCAAAATGCTGATGCCCGAGAATGCACTGAGGAGTTACAGGGATGGGAAGGTGAAATCTGCAAAGCCAAATGTGCCCTTCTTATCTCTGAAAACATCCTTAGCGGGACAGTTTGCACCCAGTTCTACAGGTAATTCTGTGGCCCGTGGCCTGGAAAGCAAGATTCGATTTAACATTTAATTCCACCAGGTGAAGCCTAAACCAGCAGCAGGCTCAACCCAGAACCTCACGGAAGAGGAAGCTAAGAGAATATAAAATTAGGACAAACTACAGCAGGTTTCCTAGATAAGAACATCTGGACTTTCACAGCAGAAATTCAAGGTATTTGGGAACAAAAAGTTTCAGGAACAAAAATGACCATTTACTCTATATCCTACTCTAATGAGTTTGGCACATAACTTGATATACACTAAATTTTGCCAGAACCCCATCTAATGGATAAAGCAAAGCATGCCTGTGGGAGGAGGTAGAGAGAGCTGGCCACGGAGCCGAGAATGGCGCAAACGGTGGATGGGAAAACCCGCATGGTTTCTCCCAACAAAACAGAAAACCACAGAATTGCAGCTAAAGCCCTGACTTCTCTCTTCTCTGCCACCCTCCCTGTGCTGGAACAGGGGCCACCTGCCTCTCCCTCGCTGTTGCAAATCCAGTACTGCTGTTAGCCCAGAGCAGCGGCTGCTGGGCTGAGTCCCATCCTCCTCTTCCCGCTCCTCCTCTGAGCTTACCTTAGCAGCACACGGTTGATGCAGAGAATTCATCACCTGATGTGACAGCCCGAGTGAGCCTGGCACTAAGAAACTCTCATTTGCAACCCAGAAATACGCTGAGGTGCCACAAACCGGCTGATGTCAGCACGGAGTTGAGCTGGATCTGCATATGGGCCAGATGCCATTACCAGAGGTGCCTTCAGTGTGGGTGGGAGGTGTACGTGCTCCAGGCCCTCAATCACCCAGGCACTCGTTGGGCCGGCCAGGAACAAAGAAACATGGATGCATCCTCTCTCCCTCTCTTTGCACACACACATGCATATACACACACAGCCACTATTTATCAGGGGAGACAACAGCTCACCCAGTGGAGTCACGCCCTAGATCCACCATTTTTCCATTAAGACAGAAGAACTATGTTTTCCTGGTATGCATATTCTTTTCCCAAGATTATACAGCAAGCACTCACCAAGACATGCTCTGGGGCAAAAAGATGCTATTGGAAAGTCCCCTCAGAGACAAAATATTCAAAATTTCCCTGGGAAATTTTATAACGGTAAACAGATCTCTAGCGGCCACCAGAATGATCTTTCAAAAATGTAGCTTTGATCATGTCATCTCTCCGTTTAAGCCTTCAATGGCTTCCTATTGGCCTCAAGATGAGTTCAATGTCCTCATCAGGCTTACAATGTCCTTAACC